TCTGGTCGGGCGCGCGAAATTGTGGAGCCGACGCCCGCAGCGCTGTCGTCGGGTACAGCCGCAGGCGACGAGCGCTGCGTGGAAGGGGAGGTCATGGAGTTCTTCCTTTCTTCGTTTCTTGTTTTTGGTTTTTGTTTGTTGAGAGAGAGAGAGAGAGAGAGAGAGAGTACCGATGTGTATTTTTTATTCAAATGCTAGGGGTACCGATGCTGTATCACGGGGCAGGCGTCAAGGACTTAAACTTGGGCGGGGCTCGATAGGGCCGCGCCGTGATAGGGCATACGGGAAAGGGTGGCAGAGGCCAAACTGGACCAAACAGCGAAACTGATGCGTTGTAGTAGACGTATCTTGGCGGTCCCGTAAGATGAATATGTCCGGTTGGCAATGCGGTGAGCGAGGTACTCAAGGACTGCCATCGTGCGAGAGCTGGTCGCGCCGAGAGTATCAAATGCGAGCGGGACAAAGTGCCAGTCGAGTAGAGGGAGTGGGGAGTCAGGCTGGAGGTGAAATGCGTCACGCACTGTACGGGAATGGACGCGAAGCTTGTCCAAATCAGCAGCTTCCGCTGCACCCGCGAGGCCTTTCGCAGCGAGGGACATTGTAGAGCGACAGTAGGGGGAACGAACGGTTACGTCGTACGCAGTGGGGCGGTCCGGGAGAGCGCCCGAAGGAGGCGAGGCGGGCTGGACGAGAATATCGGCGGGGCGGTTCGCGGTATTCGGCAAGAGAGAAGGGACCTCAAGGTCGCAGCAGAGACCGGCGGCGCGGAACGCGTGACGGGCGAGGAGGTTGCGTACAGTGTTATGACGGTGAACGACGCCGAAGCCATGACGGCATATTGCAGCATGATCACCGCGAGCGTCCATTGGCTTACAGCAATGCGAACATATGAGAGGCCGAATAGAGTCACAGTAGACGGGTGTGTCCAGATGCCGGCGTAGCATACAGGACCACACCGCAGAAGGGACTCGAGAGGTGAGTGAGGGGTGGCTGCATAGAAACGACGCGGCGCCCGGAGCACGGAGGGAATTGTACCGGGCACGTCGGCGGACAGAGGTGGCACTGTGGTTGCGAGGGAGAGGGTCAAGGTCCCACGCGGTGTGTTCCCAGTAGAGTCGAGAAGTGGCCCCCTGCATAGCCTGAATTAATGTGTGCTGTACGCGTTCAGGTCTAGACAAAAGGGCCTCTGGTTCAAATGGTCCGAGGGGAGAATGGGTCCCAAGAATGCCTCGGGTGCGGACCTCAGGGTTCAAGGCCCCTAGTACGTGGACGATATGACGACGGGCCATGCGGCGATAAAACGACTCGGAGGGGTTATGTGGGCCCTTCACACGAACAGGTGCCGCCTCAATTAAACTGGCAGCGTAGGACGCATGGATGAATGGTGACAGTGGGGTGAAGCCGTGTCCACCGAGGCGAAACGGAAGGCCTATTTGTGTAGCCATAGATGTGGAAACGGCCACATCATTAAACCGAGAATAAGCAGCGATTTGTTGTTCATCAAATTTTGTAGCTGCGGGGAGGGAGAGGTGGGGAGGTGTAAGGCGAAAACATGCTCGACTTTGCATACCGAGCCTGTTACACGGTGAAGGTGAAACCGCGTACGCGCGTCGGGAATTTCATCAAGGAGGCTGAGGGAGGCATGGCATGATTGAACTTTGTTCATGAGATGTCGACGCACAAAGGCATCTGTGCCGAGCGGGGCACCCAGCAAGGCGACACCGCCTTCGCCGCACTCGACGTGAAGGGGGAAGATACGGAGCAATTCGGACAACTTTTCTGGCATTACGGTCGGCCAGTATGCCCGGCACTTGTTGATATTGACGTGAAATCCGGACTGCGGGCCGTCATCACGAAGAATTCGGAGTGCCTTCATGACCTCCGAGATTGGCCCGACCAGAGTGCCGTCATCCGCGTACCAGCGGTTCAGGTCGAGACGGCACTCGCGGGTGAGACGACGCAGGAGCGGCTGGATTGCCAGCGAAAATAAGAGCATACTTGCCGGGTCCCCCTGTTGGGTACCGACGTATTTTTTATTCACCGAAATCGCGACAGCCGCATTAATGTGTTAACAGGATATAAATCTTGGTAATTTTATGCGGTCAACACCGATCAGCCGCTATAGCTCAGTTGGTAGAGCGCTTGACTAGTAATCAAGAGGTCTCGAGTTCAAATCTCGGTGGTGGCTTTTTTTTTCTTCTGAAACATGTGTTTTTGATCTTGTTTTTGCGGTTTGTTGGACGGACCGGACATGATTGGCAGACACTGTAGCTTTCGTTGCAGTCCCCGCCAACGAGTTGAGTTTGCGCATTACGTACAGTCAATTGGTTTCACTGCGTTTTAGCCATCCTATATCGTTTACTGTCCATACTGGCGGAGGTGGGCTTGGTGCTGATCGGCTGAGTTCGTTACTGCCCGAAACCGGTGATGGCTCGACTTCGAAGATGGTTCGATGTTGAACTTCAACGGCTGGGCTTCGGTGGCCTCGAGGACATTTTTATGCACCTGGAAACCATGCCAGATGACCAAGTTGCTGGATACTTACAAAACGTTTTGGGAGAGCAAGCTGAGGTAAAAACGCTTGCCGCAGCTTTCGTCACTGCTAGGTCGGATGGACAACGTCCTGTCGGATCAGGAACCCGTGCAATATCAAATGGTGAGTCACAGCCGACGTGGGACACAATGAGCGGGACCGGCAAGTCATCTACAACGAAAAAAGGGAAACGCCGAGGAAAGAATCGCGCGGGTTCTTCTAACGGAAATGGATCCAAACACAACACCGGGAAGACCTCATTTGCTAGCGCAGTTGCCGGTCAAGGATCCTCAACATCTAACTCCGGGCAAGCTCAAGCAATTAGGAACTCCGCTGCAGAACAAATTCCCAGGAAAATCAGAGAATATCAAAGGTCAAAAAAATGTATCAACTGCGTGTACTGCGGTTACATCGAAAAACTTATTCGTGAGGATGGGGCGTGTTCGTTTTGCCAAAGACCGATCTTTTCAATTTACGGCAGCGAGCACGAGGCCTCCAACATGCGAACAAGGGCGAACCAGTCATCGAATCGAACGATATTAGAAAACAGAACCGCAAGTAAACAAGAAAAAGGAGGCAAAGAAACTGTATCCCAGGCTACTGATGTGCAGGATAGAGATATTCTCGTTTCACAAGTGCCCCGCTTACCCGACACAGACTCGTCAGACGGATTCTACCGCAACCCAAGTTTGCCTCAGTCGTGGTTAGAAGAGTGCCTTAACCTAATGACAATCCGCTTGAGCGGTTAGCTGACTACTGGTGAGGTAACCCTAAGCAGACAGGTACAGTTGTCAGCAGTCGACTTTCAGTAGATTACTTTTCAATGGCTAAAGTTCTTACACAGCGACTAAACACAGTGCAGTATCTATCGATACCGCTATTATTGTACGCACTTAATCACTGCTCTCCGAACTTATTTTTGGTACGCGAATGAACTCCTTCTCTGCTACAGGCACCTCATCCATGATGGCGTCCCTGTTGACAACACAAACAAAGAGAAAGGGAAAGAGTCAGCAATTCTGTTAAAACCTCCGTATCTGCTTGGAGTAATGTCGAATGAAAAGAAGGTAATTCATTCCGACATACACATTTGAAAACATGACCGGTACATCATCGCGAAGTACGTTGTTAGCATCACTAGGGCTGGCCATCGGTTCGAATCCTTCAACATCTATCTCGTTAATGCTGTTGAAGAACCCAATTACTTTTTGAAGCTCTGGGGTCATTGTAGTGATTTCATCTTCTGACAAGTTCAACTGGGCGAGCCGTGCAATTCTCTTCACTTCTTCAGGAGTAGCTTCCGCACACGCTTCAATGCTAGACGCTGAATTCCTGTAAATGCGATGCGTTGGGGATCTTGATTTGCGAAACGTTCTTAACCCATGGCAAATTGGGAACCCAATCCCTACAAAACCCATCATCTTCACGCGAAGGAGTCCAACACAAGAGACTTTAGAGAGTGCACGTATCGCCCCACACTCCTAGGTTCAATGAATGAATATGAGTCCCGGAGATCGTGAGCTGGCGCAGGAAAGAATGGTTTTGTCTTATTCTTGGTCGCCTTCAGGCATATTTCATTCATTCAAATAAACGAAGCAATAATATGTAGGATAAAAAATGAAATCAAGGGGTCAAATTGCAGTGATATTTGTTGCATTGCTGGCTGTGAGGAGGGTTGTCTTGAACATTGCCGTCGTCCGGCGGCGTGCATTCTTCCGGGTTTTCTTCAGTGGTCTTCCAGATGCGGACCGCCACCGGAAAGGGAAACAACGCGAGGAAGGTGTTATCCTACTACAGCGTCAACTTTGCGATTTCCGCGCCGTATCAAGTTCTTTGCGATGGCCCGACCATTTTTCAGTCTATGCGAAAGGACATTTTTTTGAAACATGCCTTACCAACACTTTTGGGCGGAACGGCATACCCAGTCGTCACCGACTGCATTGTGAAAGAGCTTCGAGCCTTGGGGGAGGACTTTTCTAACGCTTCTATTTTCGCAAAACGTGCCACTCGCGTGCCTTGCGCTCATCAGGACGATGTCAGTGCAAGTGAATGTATCATGGCTCGACTACGCGTACCATTAGAAAAGAAACTGTTCTGTGCAACAAATGATACTGAGCTGCTTGCAAAAATTAGTAGAACACCGGGCATTCCAACTATCACTATTGTCAACGAAACAAAGCTGGCCCTCAGGAGTCCGTCAAGAGCCACGCTGTACCACGTCCAGAAACAAGAAAATGCTAAAACTTCGTGTTTGGGCACCTCCGACAAGGCTTTCCTGAAGAAGTTTGAAACCGAAACAGCCTCAAAAGATCACGCACCTAACCCAGCTAAAAAGCGAAAGCGAGCAAAGGGTCCAAATCCACTGAGCATGAAGAAAGCGAAAAAAGCCGGCGTACAACCTTGTTCAAAACAGAGTCAAAGTACGCAAGAATTTCACAATAAAGGAAATCAGTCGGAGTCATCTCTTCCGAGGGGCGATAAAACAACCAAGGTATCAGAGGCCAGTATTCCACAGGGGAACTCGAGTGACGAGAAAACGAAGAGTGAAGTTGGGCTTCACGACGAAAACACCGTGGCTGGTGTAAGGCAAGAAAGCAAGAAGAAGCGAAAAAGGAGGAAACCGAAGCGCTCAGGCACCACGGCGTTCATAGCCTCTCCGACCACTACGGAGGCAGAGCAAACGGACGGTCCTGTTGGATTGGGGGGGAATGTCGTAGTTGATGCCTTGCCAAAGTCCAAAAGAGCTGGCGAAGGGCCACCGGAATTGTCGGACATGAACGAGATAGCGCAGGGAGAGACACAGAAACCGAAGAAGACTTCTGCCACCGCGAATACCAGACGCATAGGTCTCAAGGTCAAAAGCAAGGTAACGGATACTCCAATATCCAAGGCACCAGTCTCTGGGACGAAGCCAATCGAGGATGACAACGAAGAAGGCCGGCCTACCTCCATGACTCTCGTGATTGCCGGTCAGCAACAGACACGAGTCTTAAGTAATCCCCTGAATGGCACCCAGTTACTCTCCTCTATGCAAGGGCTAGAAGGAAGCCTACGTCATGGTCCAGTTGTGGGTACACCTCCACAAGCACTTCCACCCCCGGCGAAAAAGAAGCAGAGAAAAAACAGAAGACGAAGGCCGAAGAAAAACGAAGAAAGTCCGGAAACGAACCAGCGGTCTATTGCCCCCCAGGTATCGACTGAATAGTAGTTTACTTCTGTGATGAACGCACTTAAGCTACATTTCATAGTAACTGGCTGTTACTGAAACAATCGCGCCCCTCCTTCATGTAAGAGTGACTTTCACGCTTGTAGCTGACTCCATGTTGTTCTTTCCAATTTCAAACGTGGGAGTACGCTCCCCAGTTACAAGCGTTGGGCACGGCATTTGTCCCTGACAAATTTGTGACGTTCGCATCTATACCCGCTTTACAGGTGTGTTCTACATCTGCCAAGGAGCCTCAAACTAAAGTTCTCCAAGGCTTATTAGGAATATCCATCGTAATTATTAACGGTGTTTGTTCCCGCCCAGTGCCCTTGAAGTCTTCTAATCCCGTGTTCCACCCTAATCAGGTGCACAGACGTTTTGCCTCACTCATTTTCTTGACGCGTGTGGTACTCCTCAACTTTTACTGTAAATGATTCCTTGATATGTTCTGAAATCGCTCTCAAATCGAGGAGGGCTTTCCGAAAAACGTCCGCTGCCGACCCCTTATAAGTTTCCACTCTGATGTTCATAATGTTTTCACTTGGGTGAGGGATACTGTACCCACAAAATCGCACCTGAGGATTTTTCATTAAGACATATCGCAATGAGTTTCCTAGAGTGTGATCTTCATCTCGAAGAATAAAAGTCAAACATGTTTCGTCTATGCCACTGACTTCCAACTTGCTCTCATTATCTTTCGCGATCTCCATGCCTCCAATTGCAAAACAAGAATTGAAATGAATGAAAATGCAGCTCAAACCCTTCCACCTGTTCTCAATGCCATAAAATAACACCGCTTGGAAAAAAGCTGTCGCTGACCGCTGGCTCAGTAGTCAACAGCACAAGTTATGAATGCGGCCTTCTTGCTCGTCGTGCCGCAAATATGCCAATCGTCGTCAGTTCGTAGGGGGCTTGCTTAGAGGCCGACCAATGACAGTATTGCTACTGCAGCGTTAGATTTTGAAGCGTGCCTTTCCTAAAAATTATATATTTTTGACTCAAATTGGCAACAGACATTGCGGATCAATCGCCGCCGGATTGCTTCATGTCGTCCAGCATGCGTTGCGGAATCGAATCATCCGTAACCCGTTTCGCTACTCTGAGGCTCCATTTCATCCTCCATGGCAGGCACATCGGATAATGCGCAGCCAAAAGGTGAACCAGCGGCGAAAGTGGAGACAATGAAGGACAAGCAACCAAGTACAAGCACCACTGACGCAACACCTGCGGCGAAGCAAACGGGGCTGGGGAAGCCCGACGCAAAAATGACAGACGCAGCGCCACCGCAAACCAAGGACAAACCTCCAGCTGAAAACCCTAAGGGTACGAAGGCTGGAGATGTTCCCACCGCAGCGCCCGCGACAATGAAGATCGAGGATGTCCGATCGACAGCGAAAGCACAAAGAATTGCGGCGCATTCTCACGTGAAGGGTCTTGGGCTCAGCGCAAATGGAACCGCGGCTCAAATGGGTGGCGGCCTTGTTGGCCATGAGCAAGCACGGGAAGCGGCTGGCGTGGTAGTTGAGCTCATCAAGTGTAAGAAAATGGCAGGCCGCGCACTCCTCATCACGGGAGGAATGGGATCTGGAAAGACTGCCCTTGCTCTGGCAATTGCGCAAGAATTGGGTACCAAAGTACCGTTCTGTCCTATGGTCGGCTCTGAAGTGTATTCTAGCGAGGTGAAGAAAACAGAGGTCCTCATGGAGCATTTTCGGAGGGCAATTGGGCTGAGGATCAAGGAGAATAAGGAAGTGTTTGAGGGGGAGGTCATCGAGCTCACCCCAGAGGAGACGGAAAATCCTCTTGGAGGTTACGGGAAAACAATAAGTAAGGTCGTCATCGGCTTAAAAACAGTTCGCGGGACAAAACAACTCAAGCTTGACCCTACAATTTACGAGTCCCTTCAAAAAGAACGCGTTTCCGTGGGGGATGTTATTTATATCGAGGCAAATTCCGGGGCAGTGAAGCGGGTGGGAAGGAGTGACGTTTATGCAACAGAGTTTGATCTTGAAGCAGAAGAATACGTGCCACTACCGAAAGGAGATGTGCACAAGAAGAAGGAAGTCGTCCAAGACGTAACGCTGCATGATCTCGATGTCGCAAACGCAAGACCACAAGGCGGTAGAGACATTATGAGCATGTTGAACCAGATGGGCAAGCCGACGAAAACAGAAATCACTGAAAAGCTACGGGCGGAAATCAACAAAATCGTTTCTGGCTACATAGATCAAGGGGTTGCCGAGCTTGTGCCTGGAGTTTTATTCATTGATGAAGTGCATCTCTTGGACATTGAATGCTTCGCGTACTTGAATCGCGCGCTAGAGTCCAACCTCGCACCGATCGTTATTTTCGCAACGAACAGAGGAATGACTGAGGTCCGCGGAACAGATATGCGTGCACCACATGGAATTCCTGTCGATCTGTTAGACCGTTGTATGGTCATTCGAACCGGGCCATATACGATGGAAGAGATCGCTGTCATCATTCAAATTCGAGCCAAGGTTGAAGGCGTTGTCCTAAAAGACAACTCCGTGGTCACAGCTCTTGCAGATGTGGCTGCACGAACAAGTCTGCGATACGCAACGCAGCTACTAACACCAGCAAGTATTCTGTCAGGTGTAAAAGGACAAGACCATTTGACAGCTGAAGATGTAAAAGAAGCAGACAGTCTCTTTTACGACGCAAAGGCTTCTGCCAGATTGCTAATGGAAAGTCCTTCAAAGTACATAAGCTAAACCGCTTCAACCTGCCTTTAAAGGCCATAAATGTGAATTTCAAGTTTTCTTGGCGGAGAGAACATGTATCTTTGTAGATCGCAAACACTAGCCTCAGAGCCCTTTATGCACAACCGCACGCGGTTCAAGCACAGACTGGCCTTTCATCAAGAGTTAGCATATACGCCTCTCAATGCAAGTTTGGCACAAAGCTGTGCAGAAACTAGCAGGTTGTGTTCCATAGACGTTTATATTGCTCTCAGGCAACACGCCCTCTTAGCGGGGCGGGTGCAGGTCATTGATGGCAAAATGCAAAGGGTTTCTTCTAGATCGCCATTATCGACGGGTCAGTCAATAGAGTCTTGGTCTCGCACATGAACGACATGGGAACGCCCTTTCTGGACCTCGCGTTGTCGAAACCTGCACTTTCAGCGGCCTGAAGTCGAGGCATGCCAGAGATCACGCGACGCATAGCCCCCGTTCTGCTCAATAACAAATCCCAAATGAGGCTATTCGGACCGCAAGGCCCCACTTCAAGGAGCTGTTCTAGAGTTTCGCGAACTCTCAAAAAGCTGAACTGATCACGTCCGATTGACGGATTGGACACTAGGACATGCTTCAGCATCTCACTTTATGAAGGGCATTTGACGGACACAACCTATCATACACGCAGGCTATCAAGTTTGTACTTGGACGAGAAAGAGGGACATGGAAAAAGTGAAGGCGTGCGCGCGAGGATAGCGGCCGCAATGCCGGACCGGGTCAAGAAACTGATGCGTGCATACAAGCTTTCAAGGGCGAGTAGGTCATAGCTCTGCGCGATAGCATCTTTCGAACATGGTCTCGAATGATAATTACTGTGTGAGAGTGTGTGGCACCAAAGGTGCCTACCGCAACGAGCCCGAATTGCATGTCGAGATCAGGCCCAGGGTGGTATTCCAGAGTGAGGAAGGCCTGGTGGATGGTGCGGCGATGGGTGCGAACTCTCGGGAGTGCACTGGATGAGCATGCTGCAGCGTTAGAGTACGGCTAGTGATGTGCTCTAACTTTCCTATGACCAAGCTAGTTGATGATCAATTTCAGTGTACAGAAGGTACAGCATTGCGAGGTGCATCATACGGTGCAGTATCAAGGGTACTGTAGAGTTCGGCATCACGAGATGGTAAAACCCTGCCATTTTCCAGAAAATGGGAAAGGCACAATCGCTGGTGCCAGCATAACCTGAGTCATTCGCTCAGAGAAATTTGAAACCAGGTGATCGTTTTGTCCAGGAAACGTCCTGCACGAGGCGAGTATGACCGCTACTCATGTCCTACCTCCACTCTTGGTGACATTTCTGTAGCGCTTGTCCCTTCCGCTCATTGTCTAGTTGAACTAGTCCCGGCCATATCACTTCACCCGTGATACCCGCAAGTGCCTTGACGCCGTTCTTTCGCCAGCGTAGGCACAAGCGGAAACCCGAACTCTTCTCTTTCCTCTCTTCAGAAGAACATTCAGCCTACCCGCTGTATCTTCTTCTTATCATTCAGCCCTGCTCAGCTACATGCATCAAATCACATGATTAACCTGAATGCCCTCGATCGTTTCGCAAGAGACCACTTGCAGTTTGAAGCAAAATGTTCCCGCTGTCGTCGAGACCCTTCATTTTCTGTTCCACCGACAGATCCTGAGATAATATGCGGACTTGATCAGATTCGAACCCTGATCATGGACGGTGCAATCCTTGAAGCTTGTGATGTAAGCGAGAAACTCTGTTCCAAGCCCATCGATGACCCACGCGTGCAGCTCAACGTTCGCATTCACACGCTGCACGAGCTCATCTATACTGCAGAAAACATCCCTAAAGAGAAGAAAACTGCGCGGGAGGAAGCTCTTGAGAAGGCCTTGCACTACTCACGAAAACTGGCGTCCTTTGCGCTGGATGCCTTTCCAGAAGCATATCCCATGTTTACTGAGTCGATGATGTTGTTTGCATGTCCGGAGCGCACTAACACAGTGGAGGCTATCAGAAAGCGGAGAAAGGCTCTCGCGGATGAATTAGTATCACTCACTAGGATGACGGTGGGTGCGAGAGAATCAAAACTTTCGTTCCTTATTCGCTATCTATTACTTATTTACATTCAGTTTAAGTCTCCTGTAATGACTCAAGGAGAGACATTTGATCCGCAGAAAGCTTTGATCAACGAGCTTGTAATGGGCAGTAGCGATTCCCTTCACCGAACCTCTAGAATACTGTGGAAGACCGATGGCACCAGACCCACAAAATTTGGACATCGCGACGACTACAAAGAAATTGATGTTCAGGCACTGCCTGAACGAGTAAATATTTCGAGGCAAGATTCTATTGAGAGCCTAAGGTTTTCCGACGGAGATGTATCAATAGCTCTGAAAAATGAGCTTGGCAGAGTCGAAGTTAGTAGGACGCGGTTTCGACAACTTGTCATCGAATATTGTGCCGCACGAGGATTTCATGTCTTCGAGGCAGGAAAGGCATGTTTGAATAAGGAGAATGGAGATCAGTTCCCCGTAGTTTCTGACGAAGAAGATCGTATGGTCGTAGTAGAGGGTATGGTTTCACAAGACTATATGGAAATGTTTTCTGCCCTGCAAAAGCTACGAGGGCTTGCAGGGAAGAGTGATCTCGAAGCATACCTGCCGGTTGTAGAAGAGATGGGGCATGAGCTGTTGGAACAAGCCCCAGTGCTTGATTTTCGAATAGGGCAATGCGAAGTACTGAGATATTTGAAAGGCGATGAGTTTGACACAGCGTTAAGGGTCATACAGCAAAGACTTGCACCAGCAGCCAGAAAATATCCTGAGCTCCAAAAGTCGTTGACAGATACAATAACATTGCTCGTCTTTGCTACGGACGTGAAAAGAAATTTGAAAGAATCGGAGCGGGCCGCAAAGTATAGAGTTCATGGTGCGGTAGGCGAAGACAAGAAGAGAAATCTTCTGCTAGAGGATACGGAGATGTGTGGCAACAACTGTGATCCAGGAGCTGAAGAGCAGAAGAAGCATTCGAACTCATTCGAAGGATTCCTCTCGACAGCTATTCGGGCTGTAGTTGATAATGTGTCTATAGATTCTATTATCGCTGAGGCATACAAGGCATATGAGATGAAATTTAAGGCGCCTGAATTGTTACAGTTGCTGAGTAGCCTTGTGGTGACACACAAAGAATGGCAAACGTACAACATGATGACGGATAGGTTCTCGAATGCCATGGGAATCGACGAACTCGGCGGATTATGTGAAGGTCAGCGTGGCTCTTCAGCTGATATTCGCCATGCTTTCACAATTTCTGAGTGTGCGAACAATCAAGAGGTGGGAGAAGCGCAGAGTGCGAATCCTAGTAGTCAAATATCTACACGGGATCAGCGAAGAAACGAGCAACGGGAGAACACAGTGTTAACGTTGATGGAGTTTCTGGCTATTTCCCGAGCAGAGGCCTTGACAGTGGTCCGAAACCATCCTAACGCTGAAAATGCTCAGACCATCCTAGAACTGTGGCTTGGTCACATGCTGTGACCCTGCAATGTTTTGATGGCTACGCTTTACATCACAAGCGTACATTAGATGCTTTTTTGATCCATGTTCCCATCTTATAATATCATATTGCCATGTTGTGCTACAGACCAACAGGGAAAAAGACAGATGTCCCAGCATCAAAGCAAGACTGCGTCTATACTTAAAGGCTCAGTTTGAGATTGAAGAAAACAGTAGATACTCGGGAAATGCGGTGTAGATGAAGTGCAATTCTCCAGCCGGAGACGCGTTACAGATCTGGCAACCAGCACGGGAGAGAACCTATCCCATCTACAGATTATGATGATGTCTCTAAGGTGTATCTACGAAGGAGATGAAGAGTACAAGCGTCGTGCCATATAGATTTTATCGCTCCAGCGTGAGGTCTGTTTCGTCATTCATAGAACGCTAGTAGATCTATTGGACCATATATGACGGCTGTCGTCATATGAGGACGCTTTTCGACTTATTATTATCTTGACTTGCGCTTTCTCGACAAGAAAGAAAAAGAAACCCCGGCCACCCTACTTGGCTTCTGCCTTTGGACCAGAAAGAACTTGGGGAGAATTGCAGAATCTTCCTGGTCGTCTTTAGATAGGGTGATTTTGCACTTAGGGGGGCGAACCAGTGCATTTTGGTGGCAACGGACGGGTGAAATCGGAAAAGTTGTAGCGAACAAGGGGTGTCGTTGGTAAGTTCGCAAGAGGTACACATCCGATAGAGATTTATTTGTAGGGATTACTATGGTGACCATCTCAGGGTGTGTCTTAACTTGCCCGGGTTTGCTTTGCTTGCCCGAGTTTGCCGGTCATTTATTAATTTATTAATGTAAGTACACGCCTTCCCCTTACGTTAGTAGTGGACAGGTGTCCCAGAGCGACGGTGCTGACTTACAGAGGCATACAGCGCCATAAATTGCCAGAACACAACGGGGAGGACACTGTGGGTTCTACAAATTCGCTCCGAGGACGCATCGACAGGGACGTGACATGCTGCAGCGTCAAACAACTTCGCCCGAGGGACGCGTCGACATGGACGCGAGACGCTGCAGCGTCGCTCGCTTCCGACCCAGAACGTGGCCATTGCGGGTGATCCCAGATCACCGGGATAAATAATTGATCTCACCCCCTACTTCTCTCCTTACTACTTCGCGGGATAGCGTATCTATCGCCGGCGCTGTTTGGTCAAAAAACGGATCTACAACCACTGCCCAGTATCGCCGTTCGCCTCCCCTCCTTTCTTCTCAATCTAATCACTCCTACGCAATGCACGGCAATAGAATCATCACTGCTACGACCGCACTAACCGCAACCGCAGCTCTATTCTCCCTCCTTTCATTGCACCAAGCTATTTCAAACTATCCTCGACCCCGAAAATTCACAAAGCCCTTAGATCTCCGACGGGGATGGACCTTTGTCAGAGCCAACAGGATTTTTAACGACAAAGAATTCAGTCGTACATACCGTATGGAGGGGGGGATAATATTTGGTCAGAAACGCCCGCTGCAGACGAGGAGTGAGAGACTTTGCGTTGGTGGCCCCCGTCTTCCGAATGGTGGGAGTCGGAGAGATGCGCCAGAGGCGCGGAGAACGGCGCACGTGGCATTGAGTTGTGGAAGCCATTTTCAGGAAAGTAGTAGGCAGAGAGGTGCTTCGTAGAGTTGGGTTGCCTTTGCGAGATGGCAGGTGCATAGATTTTTGCAAAGGGGGAGTTGAGGATGTTTTCGGCAAGGGGCAAGCACTGCGTCCACCGGAGCACAGCGTCCAAATTCGAAAGTTACAAACTTACAAAAGTAGCCAATATATGATTGACATTTGTCATTACACACTGACATAACTTGAGCTTGCAGTGTAAGGTCGTACTTAGTTTCAAATCATATATTAACGCCCAGTAGCCAATAGTAGTGCAAATCATGGCTCCGGGCAAGCAAACCCGGACAAACTCGGGCGAGTTAAGACCCTCCCTCAAGTGCTACACTGCTGGCATATCAATTACGACTGTGAACCAAGAGATCCGGATGCCGGGGTCCCCCTGACCGCGGGGGGGCCGCCGGCGCCGGTATATTTACTGACTCTATGTCCTATCGTACGTCTATAAATAAGGCTGTGCCTTATTTGCATGTTTGTGTGGAATCGCTGTGTTTTTTCGTAGCGGGGCGGGAGAGCAATGCGCGCGTCTTTTCCTCTTTTTGTGTGGAATCACAGTCCCCCTGGCGCGCGTATTGCCTAGTTTCGGGGTGGAAAGTGACTGCCTCGGTGGGTGGGGGGGTGACGTTGAGTCGCGTGCGGTGTCTTGTGAATGTGTCTTTCTTGAGCGGTTTGGTCATCAGGTCCGCTGGCATGTCGTGTGTTGGTACTCGATGAATTGAGATGGCACCATTTTTTGTTGTGTCTTGGAGGTAATGGTATTTGATGTCTATGCACTTCCTTCTCTTTGTGGGCGCTTGTTGGTTTGCCATGCGAGCGGCGGCGGCGTTGTCAATGTGCATGGCCGCCGTTGGCGTGGGGATGCCTATTTCCGACATCATGTTGCGGATCCATATGGTGTGGGTTGCCGCCTCGGCGGCCGCCATGTACTCGGCTTCACATGTACTTTTAGCTACAATGGGCTGTTGTTTGGCCTGCCAGTGTATGGTCGCATTGTGGAGGGTAACGGCCATGCCGGAGAACGATTTTCGCGTGGTCGTGTCATTGGCAAAGTCGGCGTCTGTGAAGCTCGTGATGGTGGGCTGTTGTTTCCGTGATTTGGGGAAAAGTATGCCGTGGCTGCGTGTGCTGTGTAAATATTGCGCTAGCCTTTTTAGCAGTCTCCAGTGTCTCTTGGTGGGGCGTTGTAGTGCACGCGCCAATGCCGCTGTTGCGAATGCAATGTCTGGTCTGGTACTGTCCGCTATGTACCGTATCTCTCCTAGCGCTGTGCGGTATGTGTCTTGTATGGCTGGGTACTGTTCATCTGTGTCTTTCGGTGGATCTACACTGATGCCGTGGAGGTATGGTGTGTCAACCGGGTTGTTGTCGTTCATGCGCAAGTATGCGGTGACGTGCTGTATGTGCTGTGGTTGCGAGACATGGATCCCGTGCTGTGTGTATGTTATGTGCCAGTTGAGGTATGCTTTGGGTTTGCCCAGCCTCTTGATTTGATATTTCTGGCGCAATGTGTTGTACAGCTCGTCATTGAGTTTGGGGGTCGTGGCGGCTGCTAGGAAGTCATCCATGCTGACTGCTATAATGATCAGGTTGTTGTGTGCCTGTTTGGTGAACAGTGATGGATCTGATTTGAGTTGACGGTATCCGTTGTTTCGGAGGTGTTCGTGGAGTCGTGTGCTGTAGGTATACGCCGCTGGTGGGGTGCCGTATATGTTTCCTTTGAGTTGACCGTTTGTGGTTTTGTGTGTGAACGTTCCGTCAAATTTTGGGGGTTGCCATACGTACACCGGCTTTTCGTGTTCGTATTGTTCGTGCAAGTATGCTCCTTTTATATCGAGATGTTCAAGGTGCATGTCGTTCGCTGCCGCCATGGCGAGTATTGCTCTGACTGTCGTTTTGTCTGCCATGAACGTCGCTGTCTTGTCCGGGTCATAGTGCGTGTGGGGTGTCATGAGGTCTCCGCGCACTGAGCACTGAGCTTTTCTTGTTATTGTTTTCGTGTCCGGCTCGATCTTGTACCTGTACGTCATGGTCATCGGTATGATGTCACGTTTCGGTATGTTGGTTGCTGTTTTGTGCCATGCGATTGCCTTCATGTCGTCCAGCTGCTGTAATTCGTGGTTGTGCGCCGTTTCCCATTCTTTTGCGTCAGGATATTTGCGTGCTTGTGCAAGTGATCTGGGCGCTGGGGTTGTGGTTGTGACTGCCGTTGGTGTGGTGGTCTTGCGGCGTTTCGCCGTGAATGCGGCAGGTGTGGTTGTGCATGGGTCTGTGTTGCGGAAGTACGGTTTAAAGTCGTTGCTGCGCACTTTTTGTTGTCGGCTGGTGTGCATGTTGTAGACTTGGATGTGTGTGTCGTCGATACCGTGGAGGTATCGTGCTGGGTGTGCTCTGAGCTGAAGTTTGGTTTTGTGCGGTTTCAGTATAGGTATATATCCTAGTTGGCCAAATATGAATATGTACTTCACTCGCGGCGGGGTGCCATGCCATAGGGTGTGCGGTAGGTTCTTGACGGTGTGGTGGTATGTTATGTTGTATTTGTATACTGCGTCGGTGACTGCTTCTTGCCAGTAGGCTTGCTGCATGTGGCTGTGCGCCAACGCAGCTCGTGCACTGTTCATGATGGTCCTATTGATGCGTTCTGCCAAGGAGTTTTCTTGCGGTGTATAGGCTGTGGTCGGTCGAAAGGTGATCCCTCTGTTGGTGAGGTACTGCTGTACGTATGTGGCTGTGTATTCCTTCGCGTTGTCCGTGGTGAGTAGTTTGGGATAGTATCCTAGCTGGTTGGATACGTATTGGATGGCGTTGGTGATGCTGTGCGGTACTTGTGACCTGTTGTTGAGGAAGACTACCCAGGCGTATCTCGTAGCTGTGTCTACAAGTGTCATGAAGTAGTAGTTATTTTGTCTGGATGTGGGCTTGATGGGGCCGCAGACATCCGACGATAGTTGTGTGCCTACTTCCTGTGTGTGGGTGGTGCGGGGGTGCGTGGTTTGCGTTGTTTTGCCATCGATACATCCTGTGCAGGTTAGCTTGTGTGGCGTCGTGTGCAGGGATGCGGGGAGGGGTGGTAACGGTTTGTGTTTCGCCATTATACTGATGGTTTTTGGGTGAATGTGGCCGAGTCGCAGATGCCAGTCCTGCATTATGTCCTTGACGGTGCTTCTTTTTGGTTGGTGATGGGGGGATTGCGCGGTGTTGCGCAGTTGCGGTGTGGCGCGCGTGTGGGGGGCTATGTGGGGTGTGACCGGTGCGGTGGTGCTTTTCTTGTTTTGTTTGTGTTGTGTATGGGTGCTGGTGTGTTTCGGTGCTTTACGTGTTTTATGTGATTTGCCTACAGTGCGTGCTGCTTGTGCTTGAGCTCGCTCAGGTTTGTCCATCACGTACTGTCCTTTGCGGTATGTGGCCGTGAGGACTGGTTTTCTTATGCGTTGGGGTGCGTGCACTATTGCGCGGTGGGGTGTGAATGTGACATGCCCGTAGCGGGTGAGGTCGTGTACACTTAGGAGGTTTTGCTGTATGTTGGGGGAGTGTACCGCCGGGAGAGTGATGGTCTTATTGCTCTGTTTGATTTTGATGGGTCCCGTGTGTGTTATGGGGTGATGTTTGCCGTTGGCAGTTTTTGTTAGTGTACCGGTTGTTTTGCGCATCGTACCATGGGGTTTGGATACGTGCGTAGGATTGGCACCGGAGTCGAGAATGTATGGAAGCTTACCGGTGGTATCGTCGTCGGAGTGCTGGGTAATTGCTTCTTCGAGTTGCGCTATCCTCATTTGCAGTTCATCGATGGCTTGGTCGTGTGCTTCTGTTTGTTGGGGGCTTGGGGATCGCGGTGGGGTGTTGTTTTGGATTGTGTTGGCGTGATACGGGGCTTTTCTTTGCCATTTGTGTGCATAGCATTCCGTGGTGTTGTGCGTTACACTACCATGGTGGGTGCACCATGCTCCGCTCCATCCTGGAGGTTTGGGGTACGTTTGCGATTATCATTTTGTGCCGGATGCTCTGGTGTTTGGCTAGATACTCACTGAATTCCTGTCCGGGGAGGAATTTGAGGCTGCGGGCCTCGGCGTCCAGTACTTCATGATTCTCGATGTTGGTTTCGTGGACGTGTGTATTGATCATTTCGCATATGGCGTGTGGTTCTTCCCTGAGGATGGTGGGGGGTAGCTGCGGTATGAGATCGTTGTGTATGCTTTGCATGATGATCGTCCTGAGCGCATCGGCTTTGTCCTGATTCTGTTTGCTGATCGCAGGGTCTTGGGTGGGTGTCGGTGCTGCTTCTAGGAGCGGTTCTGCCTCTATGGTACGCG